GAGCAATAAGACTGAAGAAGATCAAGGGGATACAAACTGGAAAGGAAGAAGTCAAAGCATCACTATTTGCAAATGATATGATAGTATATATAAGTGACCCTAAAAATTCCACCAAGGTATTCCTACAGCTGATAAACACCTTCAGTGATGTGGCTGGATACAAGATTAACTAAAAAAAAAAAAAATCAGTAACCCTCCTGTATACAAATGACAAATGGACTGAGAAAGGAATTAGGAAAATGAACATTTTTCACTAAGAACATATCCACAAATAACAAAATATCTTGGAGTAACTCTAACCAAGCAAGTGAAAGACATGTATGACAAAAACTTCAAGTCTTTGAAGAGAGAAATTGATAAAGCTATCAGAAGATGGAAAGACTCTCATACTCATGGATTGGTAGAATTAGCATAGTAAAAATGGCCTTCCTATCAAAAGCAATCTACAGATGCAATGCAGTCCCCATCCACATTCCATCAGACTGCTTTACAGACCTTGAAAGGATAATTCTCAACTTCATATGGAAAAACAAAAACCCTAGTGTAGCTAAAACAATCCTGAGCAATAAAAGAACCGCTGTAGGTATCACCATCCCCAATATCAAGTTGTATTACAGAGCTATAAAAACTGCATGGTATTGGCATAAATACAGATATGTTGATAAAGGGAATAAAATTGAAGACCCAGACATAAATCCACACAATTATGGATACCTGATTTTTGATAAGGCAAAAATACACAATGGATAAAAGAAAGCATCTTTAACAAATGGTGCTGGTCAAACTGGATGTCAGCCTGTAGAATACAAAGAGATTCATACTTATCATCCTGCACAAAACTCAAGTCCAAGTAGATCAAAGACCTCAACATAAAACCCGATACACTGAACCTGATAGAAGAGAAGGTGGGGGTAATAGCACTGAACGAATTGGCACAGGAGACAAGATAGGTGGGGCTGGCAGACAGAGAGAATAAATAGGAGAAATCTGGGAGAAAAGGAGAAAGAGCAAGAGAACGAGGAGAGGAGGATGCTAGGGGCTAGCCACCCAACTACACAGCCAGCCACAGAATAAGAGTGAAAGCAAGATACACAGAAGTAAGACAAGAAAAAAGCCCAGAGGCAAAAGGTAGATGGGATAATTTAAGAAAAGCTGTCAAGAAACAAGCCAAACTAAGGCTGGGCATTCATTAGTAAAAATAAGCCTCCATGTGTGATTTATCTGGGAGCTGGGTGGCAGACCCCCCAAAAGAGCAAAAACAACCAACAACAGGTGGACTTGGGGTGGGAGATGGGGATGGGAGTGGGAGGGATCAGGTAGGATGGGAGATGGGATGGAAGGTGAGAGTGCATGTAGAGACAGCTGGAATTGGGGGACATTTGGAGGGTGCTGTGAAAAGCTACTGCAGTGGAAACTTTCTGGAATTTGGGAGGGTGATCCTAGTGAGGACTCCTAGTAATGGAAGATAGGGAGTTTGAACTGGCTATCTTTTTGTAGTTAGGCAAGGCTCCCAGTGGTGGGACTGGGTTATATTTGGTTCAGTTGTTGGCCAAGGAGATTCCTGTGGAGATCCCTAAACAACCCAGGCTGATGGTGGGATAGAGGGGTCGCTCTCTGAAAACTGACAGTGGGGACCATTGTTGAGGACAACATCCACACAGCTCATTGAACATAGAGAGGTCGATCTGGTGCTTGCATGGAGCCTTCACACCCATGTTCTAGTCTCTGTGGTATGGGAAGGTACTCTGCAGGCTACAGAAAGAGAAAGCTGGACACCAAAGCAGCCACAAAACCTTTGACCTACAATCTGTCCTGCCTGCAAGATGTACTGGGGCAATGGTGGCACAGAACTTGTGGGAGTGGCCAGCCAATGTCTGATTTAACTGGAGGCCTACTCTATGAGAGGAAGCCCATGCACTGTTTGGATGACCAGAAACTGGAGACCAGATAACCCAGAGACCTAGGGTAGAACCAAAAAACTAAAAAAAAATTAATGAAATGATTCTTAATGATATTCTGCTATACTCATAGATGGGTGCCTTGTCCAGTCATCATCAGAGAGGCTTCCTCTGGCAGCAGATGGGGGCAGATACAGAGACCCACAGACAGACATTATGAGGCAAGAGAGTCTAAATTGGAGGTCTCTATCAGGTCCCTCCCTTTGGGAGTTCAGGGAACTCAAGAAAGAGAAGGGGGAAAGGTCACAGGAGTCTCGGGATGGAGGACAGCAGGAGAACACGGCTCCCCGGATCAACTAAGCAGGGCACTTCTGAGTTGTGGGATATTTTGATCGCACTCTGACACTTTGAGACTGACAATAAAATTTACCTTGAGTCAGAGGGCAGAGTTAGCTACTAGCTGACCAGAATCAGCCATAGAAGTTTTGGAGGACCCAGGACACACAGAGAGACACAGGAAGTAGTAGGAAGGGGCTTAGAATGATTCACAGCTGTTTTGGATGGAAGAAAGAGAGAGAGAGGAGGTCACTGGTGGCTTCTCTGCCCCTTCTCTAATCAATCAGGTTTTTACCCCAATATCTGACTCCTGAGTTTTACTTAATAATAGAACAATATAAGTAATTGCTTTACTGTGGGCTCACAGAGACTGAAGCAGCAAACACCGGGCCTGCTAGATCTGCACCAGGTCCTCTCTGTATATGAGGCAAACTCCTCAAGGGAGGCTGGGGTGGGTGGGGCCAGCAGCCTGGGTCTTAAGTGGTTCTGACCAGAGAAAAGGTTGCTCTGATAGAATACACTCTGTAGTGTGTTGAGACTTCTGTACTAAGGCCCTACACTAGGAGGCTTACAACAACTAGTTAATGTTCTTGTAGCTGGAAGGCTGGCTGTTGGAGCCAAGGTGTGTGCAGTGTTGAATGGAGTCCTATTCCAGGTCTCTCTCCATGGCTTGTAGACATCTTCTTCCCCTGTCTTCACGCCCCTTTCCTGTTTTTACAAACACATACTGACGTGGTGTCAAGAGGTTTTTTCCTGGTCGTCAACTCCCCATCACAGTCCACTTAATTCGTACCACCTGTTGGCTGTAAGCCCTCGGCTCTCCAGCTGTAGGCTGTGCTTTGAAGGCAACTGCTCCTCCCATGAGGGCATTTGTATTTGCGTTACATACAAATGTGAAGAAAGTCCCAGCGGTCCATACCTGTGATCTCAGCAAGAGGATCACATGTTCAAGGCCAGCATGGGTTACGCAGTGACACCCTGCCCTGCCAAAGGTACCTCAGGTTCTAAAACGACTGGGTCAGAAGGTGAACTATGCCAAAGTCAAAATGGACAAACCTTCTGGGAAGCATCCTGGAGCCCACTACTGTGGTGGAAACTGATGGAGGGAATGGACCTCACGATGGCTGAATCAGTCACTCTCCCCTGGGAAGGGCCCAAAGCCGTGGGGTCTTGAAAGCCAGACTTTTCCCACCAGGTGTGCCAATGTTCACTGTGAAAACATTTTCAAGAGACATGACTATTAGAAACACATCTCTACCAAGCCCTTTGAAACGAGAGCGCAGGGAATTAAGAAGGCAGGCGGCATTGCAGTGCAAATCATCGTAGCTTATAGTTAAGTGCGCTCCTGGTCAGATGTTCAAGTTTTCTCAATCACAATTATCCAGTTATTCTCAATCCACAAGGCTGGAAGTCCTTCAGAAAGGAGCCATCCAAGCTTGGCCTCATGTCACTGTGCTGAATACCTGCTGGACTGGTGTCTTTGGTTGTGAAGGCAGCAAACAAATCATTCACATTTTCATCACACACATTCAAGTGCCTTTCAAACTGAGAACATTGTATATTAAAAAAAAAAACAGAATAAAAGCTTCCAAACGATGTTACAAACATATTTTGGCAAAAGATGTAAAACATGGCCAAGGGCTGGTTAATTACAAGTTGAGTATGATGTGTGGTATAGTTATATATGCTTTTATTATGAAACAGAAAATGCTGAGTGTGTAAATGATACAGTGCTAGTCCCCATGAAGCTCACAAGGAAAGGGGCGCCCAGCTGGTTGGGCAGAAAGTGCTCTAGGTGAGCAATGTGGCCAGGGGTCACAGCAGAATCATCATTAGCGTGTGCACCTATGGCCTGAGGGAGAGGACAGTGGCAGAGCGAGCCTTTGGAGGTGCCCTCAAGACTTCTCTGTGCATATGTGTTCCCTTGAGCTCACAGAAGTAACTCCAATGGCATTGCATGGTTGTACTTACAAACAAAAGCTTTGTGCACATCAAAAATGACAAAATTAAACATACGAACATGCTCATGTTTCAACATTAAATCATGTCAGTATAAACATAGGATGAAATTACCATCATTGCAAAAGGTGGACACTGCTAAGCTAATCTTGAAAAGAATCACATTTATCTGGTGGGGAGGTGGTGGCGCATGCCTTTAGTTCCTGCACTTGGGAGGCAGAGGCAGGCGGATCTCTGAGTTCGAGGTCAGCCTGGTCTACAGAGCAAGCTCCAGGTTCCAGGACAGCCAGGGCTACACAGAGAAACCTGTCTAGAAACAAAACAACAACAAAAAAGTCACATTCATCTCCAAGGTGAGAGGAAACCAGTATTCACGCAGGCATTTGTTTATTTTTTTCCTCAGTGAGGAGAGAGACCCCCAACTCCACACGCCTGCCACTGTCCCTGACCAGGCGTTTATGGACACACCATTTTTGTAACATTTCTCAAATTATTTCCAAATTCAGGTAACTTAATGGGAATTTAACTGACCTTCAAAGTCAGCTTTATAAGGGTGGCAGACCCTCCTACCACCTGAATTCCTAATTTCCATACACAGATTTCCAAGACAACACAATAAAACTTAGCAAAGCTCTCTCGGTCGTGAGAAGGGAGAGTCCTTTCCTGTCAACTTGACTTCATTTCTAAAATTTCCAATAACATCTTTTCTGGAGACTTTTTTCCTTCACCTGCTTTGGATATGGTCATATTGTCTTTGTCTGGGTCCATTCACCGTGGAAGAGCTACATCTGAGAATGAGGAGGGAATATTTTCTTCCACCCACTTCAAATCTTCATCAGAATGGTCAGGAGTAAGTTGAGCTGTTCCAGTTGAAACTGCTTTTGAGGTTCTTAATTTTATCCCTTTGGTTAACTTTTCAGATGTTACCGGAAGTCTTCAACTTCATCATGACAGTTGTCTAATGATGGCGTGAAGGCATACCTCTGATCTCGTGCTGATGGTCTCCATACAAACCTTACTACAGTGAAGAGAAGTGTAAGAGGAAGTTCCAGAATGCACTGACCCAGAGCTCCGCCAACCTGACTCGAATTTGGATTCTGTCTTCCATGCCCACACCACAAGCAGTGGAGATGAGAGGTTTGTAAGATGTCTAAATAGTGGCATTTACAGTGTGCCTTTTTAGCCTTAGAGTCTTCATGGTTTGTGACAAACTCTAAAAAATTCACCAGGCTCGAGTCAAGGAGAGAGAGGCAGGTTGACCAGAAGAACAGTATCAGAATCATTGCTCCACGGCTCTCATCATACCCTCAGTGGATATGCAGATAAAGCCACCCCAGTACAGACACCTGTGCATGACTGTTTCTAAATGAGGAATCCATAACTCCAGGTCACAGTGATCACAAGCAGAGAGCTGATGTCTTCTTAATCCACAAGGTATCAGGGAACCTTGTGTTGACAGTCCAGTGCTGTTGATTTTTGTTATTCACTATAAAAACCTGCTTTTCAAGCATTCCCAGGGAAAGTAGCAGCTGGAATCCAGAAATGGATTCTTTTTTTTTTTTTTTTTTTTTTTTTTTTTTTTTAATAGAGCTGAGGGCCAAACCTAGGGCCTTGCGCTTGCTAGGCAAGCACTCTACCACTGAGCTAAATCCCCAACGCCAGAACTGTATTCTTAACGCATCTTTCTGGTAACATGCAGACCAGAGCAGCCAGAGAACACCACATAATATACGAACAATACATATTACTATGTAAGAACCATCAAAGGTCAGCCTGATGCAGAGATATATTCATGAGGCACCCTCATAGAAAGGAAAACATTCAAATTCCGGTTGGTATATGAAGATGTGACATCAAAAGATATGGCATCAAGACTGCCACACCAAGGTTGGAGGGATGGATCAGTGGATAAGAGCACTTGCTGTTCTTGTAGAGAACAGAACCTAGTATCCACAGGGCGCCTCAGGACCACCTGTACTCTAGTGGGAATGTACAGGCACTGAACACACACAGCACACATGTATACATACAGGCATAACACTCAAAAGCAATTCTTAAAAAGTTCAATCAAAAAGGCGTCTCACCCCAGCGCTTGCCTCGCAAGTAAGAGGACGGGGGTTCAGGTCCGCAGAACCCACATAAATGCCAGGTAGGCATGGAGGCTCACCTGTAACTTGAGACTCAGAAGGCAAAGACGGTATTTCTCCAGAAAAGCTTGCTAGCAAGATACCTGGTGAGCTCTGGGTTTTCCGGAGAGACCCTGCCTCAGATAATAAAGTAGAAGAGAGATTGAAGAAGAATCCTGATATCAACCTCGGGCTTTGCATGCAGACATGAGCATTTATACACATATTCGCCCCCACTCATGCTTGCTAATCCTAACAACAAGGAGGAAAGGCTTGAGTTCACGGCCATCCTTGAGCACAGCACACTTGCTAAACTCTGCATATTGAGGCAGGAGATCAGCTCAAGGCCTGGGCTACAGTATCAGGAGGACCTGAATCAAGGAGTCCACCTATGGGCCGCTAAGGCAAAGACAGCGTTACCTGCTAATTCTCAGTTTCCCAGCAGGCGGCGCTCCAGCACCAGAGATTTAATCGCAAGTTACAATTCAGAGGCTTGAGGCCGGTTTTGGTTAATGTTTGTTTTTCAGGCTAAAAAGGAAAGCTGTTAGAAAAAATAAACAGTTTATCAGGCATTGCGACAACGACGTTTGAGGGGAAAGACAAGCTGTCGCTTCAAGGACAGGAAAAAATGTCCCTGCACGAGTAAATGCTGAGCCGCCTGTAAACATGATTTAAAAAAACACCCAAAACAAAATCCACCAAAACTCAAGAGAAGGAAGAAAAACAAAACGTTGGAAATCAGAGGGAAGATGAGGGAAACGGAGGACCACAGAGACTGTCTGCAGGCCTGGGTGGAGCCCGGAGCAGTGAGAGAGACGTGAGCAATGCATCCGGAAAGAGGGTGACCCTGCTGGGCATGCAGGTTGCCTGTCCTGTCCCCTGTGTGGCTGCTCAAGCCACTAGGTCTGACTCCCGGCTGGCTGAACTTGAGATCCTGGAAACTCAGTCTTTCCAGGCCTGCATCTCCTCAGTGCCTGCAGGGATGGAAATAGACTCGGTATTGCCTGCAAGTCAAATCAGCAGACTGAGACTGATGAATTGGGATTTTAGTTAAAGGAGTGGGTTCGAAACAGCGAAATTATTTAGAGCAGAAATGGTTGGATTTGGGGAGTGCTATTTGTGTTGGCCTGTTGAGGGTTATGGTGATGTCCCCAAAGGCAAGCTTCACTTGGCTGTTAAAATAGCCTTTCTTTAGAACATATCTATTAAAAAAAATGATTCACTTTATTTTTAATTACAAGTGCATATGTGTGTCTCTGTGTGGGAATGTACAGTTGAGTGCAGGTGCTCTGGGAGGCCAGAAGGGGTCAGATCCCCTGGAGATGGAGTTGTAAGCTCTTATGAGTCACCCAAAGTCAGTGCTAGGAATTCAACTTGGGACCTTGGAAAGAGCAATCTGCACTACTGACCTGCCTTTGGGGACATCACCATAACCCTCAACAGGCCAACACAAATAGTACTCTCCAAATCCAACCATTTCTGCTCTAAATAGAAGAATATGGGCAAATTCTGGACAGATACCTGGAGAAATGGCCTAGCAGTCTCCAGAATGCTGGGATCATGGGTATTCTACTGAGTCTGACCATATTCTGGATTCTTGATTTCTCTCCCTCCCTCCCTCCCTCCCTCCCTCCCTCCCTCCTTCCCTCCCTCCCTCCCTCCCTCCCTCCTTTCCTTCCCTCCCTCTTCCTTCCTTCCTTCTTTCCTTCCATTCTTTCTTTCCTTTTTTTTTTTAAACTTCTTTTCTCTTGGGCAGCTATGCTAGTTAGATATTTTTGAAGTCTGACAAAAGTTCAGTTCATTTGGGAAAAGGAACCTCAATTGAGAAAACACTTCCTAAGATTGTCTTTTAGGTAAGCCTGGGAGGACATTTTCTTAATTAATGATTGATGTGGGATGCTCACAGCCCACTGTGGGTCCTGGGTTGTCTAAATAAGCAGGCTAAGTGAGCCTAATGGAGTAAGCCAGTCAGCAGTGTTCCTCTGTGGTCTCTGTGCCCACCTCCGGGTTCCTGCCCGGGCTCTTGTCCTGGCCTCCTTCACGATGGACTGTAAACTGCAAGATAAATAAACTAAATAAACCCTTTCCCCCTAAAGTTGCTTTTGGTCGTGTTTCATTATAGCAGTGGAAAACGAACTAAGACACTATCATCAACACTGCTGCTACCAACACCCCCCTCTTTACCTTTAATTACAGGTCTGTGTCTGTGTGTGGGGAAGTGCATGTGAGTGCAATGCCTGTGGAGGCCAGAAGAGGGTGCTGGATCTCCTGGAGCTGGAGTTACAGGTGGTTGTGATTACTACACACAATAACTGTGGTGAACTTATAGGCTGTGGGCACACACATCTTTGATCTTATTAATGAATTTCCAGTCATTTCCTAGAAAGCTGTACCCATTTCTACTCCTGCTGCAGTGTGGAGTTCTGGGTGGTCCAGTGTGCCAGGGGCACACTTCCTCAGTCTAACTCATTTATGGAAATACCACATTTTCATTTTGTCTTTTGAGACAAGGTCTCCTGATGGGTGATGTTGCTCTGTGTGCTGTAAATGTGTTGCTCTGATTGGTTGATAAATAAAATGCTGATTGGCCAGTAGCAAGGCAGGAAGTATAGGCAGGATAAGCAGACAAGGAGAATTCTGGGAAGAGGAAGGCTGAGTCAGTAGACACCAGCCTGCTGTCCAGGGAGCAGCATGTAATGGCACACAGGTAAAGCCACGGAACAAAGTGGCAACATATAGATTAACAGAAATAGGTTAGTTTAAGTGTAAGAGCTAGTCAGTGGTAGGCCTGAGCTAATGGCCAAGCAGTTATAATTACTATAAGCCTCTGTGTGATTATTTTATAAAAGGCTGTGGGACCGTGGGTGAGAGATTTGTCCCCACTGTGGGCCATGCAGGACACAGAAAAACTCCAGCTACAGTCTCCTGTTTCCCAGGCTGGTCTCAGACTTGCTCTGAAGTGAAGAAGGGTAGCATTATACTCATCTCCTTGCCTCCACCCCTGAGCTGAACTGACAAGCAGGAAGCACTGGCATTGAAGTTTTAATTGTTGACTTTCCAGCCTCCGCTGAGGTTGTGCATTTTACTATGTGTATTAGGCATTTGTGTTTTCTCTCAGAGACATCTATGTGTGTTTGTTGCCTCTTTTTTTTTACTTTAAAAATATTTATTGAGCTGGGTAGCTGTGGCACACTCATTTAATCTTAGTCCTTGAGAGGCAGAGACATGTATAATCTCTGTGAGTTCGAGGCCAGCCTGGTCTACAGAGGGAGTTCCAGGACAGCCAGGGATACACAGAGAAACCCTGTCTCAAAAAAGCCAAGTGTGTGTGTGTGTGTGTGTGTGTGTGTGTGTGTGTGTGTGTGTGTGTGTTCATTCTAGGGCTGGAGAGATGACTCAGTGGTTAAGATTGAGTACTGAACTGGCAGAGGACCCATGTTCAGTTCCCTTGCACCCACATAAGACAGCTCACAACCTCCAGCAATTCCACCTCTAAGGAATCTGACACCCTCTTCTGGCATCCATGGTCACTCACCAACACACACACACACACACACACACACACACACACACACACACACACACACCCCAACACATACATACCAACACACACATAATTAAAAATAAAATTTTTGCAAACACGGATAAAAATTGTTGATTTTATTTTTCTCAGATAGATTTTTCTCAAAAGTGTAGCCCTGGCTGGCCCGAGATTCTCCTGCCTCTGCCTCCCGGGAGCCGGTCAAAGGCATGTGGCCAGCCTTCTTTTGATTCTGAGGTATTCCTTATGCATTTTGCACTTTGTCGGTTGTCAAGTGTCCAGCGCTCTGTGGCCGTGTCATCAAGCTTGTTTCCCATCACTGTTTTGGACGGTGGGTCCCTGTTCTTTCCACTCCACCACAAACCTGATAACAGTCCTCCCGAGTTTCCAGGAATTCATTGAAAGTTCTGGTAAGGGTACTTCTTGTTTTTGCCAACATTGTTATAGATTTAATTATTTAAAAATATTTCTTCTGTCACTTCCAAGGCATTTGGGGGCGACAGACTGTAGCACATATGTTCACTTTGCCATTTTATCCGATTTAAAGCATTTTATTCATTTATTTAAATTACAAAATTATATCTATGTATACACATTGAATATATGCATACAACATGTTGTTTTGAAAAATGACTAAATTGTGAAATGGCCAAATAATGCTAATTATCTTATTCATTACCTTATAAAAATGTACTTTTCTAGCAATATTCAGAAAGGCAATCTATTTTATTAACTAGAGTTACTATGTTACAATTAATTGTTGTTTGTTTGAGACAGGGTCTGACTATGTGGGCCTGGCTGGCCTGGAACTCACGTGTATGTGTGTAAAACATTTACATAGTTTTCTTTCATCTTCTCTGTATAGTGCACCTGCTGTCAGAGCTCAACGAAAACCCTGGGAGTGGAGCTGCTCTTGAGGCGAGCTGCTAGCATTCTGAGGTGAGCCTGGGAAGATCTGAGATGAGGAAGGTATCCAACTTTGGTATGGGAGAAGAGGTTTCTGGTCACTGACCCCACTTAGCATCTACCTCCTGTTTTTGACATTATGCTTCCCGTTTGTGAGTGACATTTGCTCTGAAGGTGAAGAGCAGAAGACATGGCTGCTCACAGGCCCACTCTAGCCCAAGGGCTTGTGATTAGACAGGCCTGTGACAAGCCACTTCCCTCTGGATGGTTTTCAGGGTGGAACTAAATTTCTTCTTTCATTTTATTAGTTGGTGTCCTGGCCAGTTTTATATCAACTTGATACAAGCTAAAAGTCATCTAAGTGGAGGGACCCTCAAATGAGCAAATGCCTCCCTAAGAGCTTGCTGTAGGCAGGCCTATAGCGCATTTTCTTGAGTACTGATTGGTGTAGGAGGAGCCAGTCCATTGTGGGTGATGCCACTCCTGGGATGGTGGTTCCGGGTTCTACAAGAAATCAGGCTGAGCAAGCCAGTAAATAGCACCCCCCCCCCCCCCATGGCCTCTGCATCAGCTCCTGCCTCCAGGCTCCTGACATGTTTGAGTTCCTTCCCTGACTTCCTTCAGTGATGTAAGTGATGTGGGAGTATAAGCTGAGTAAACCCGTTTTGTTGTAGCTTAGCAGTGACAGAAAGGAAAGGCTACCTTGGTGGGTTAGAGCCAAGGGGCCCCGGAAAGTCACACCACATGTGGGAGGTTTATTGGAGGGAAGGGAAGAGAAGAGGCACAGAGGCGGCCTCTGGGGTCGAGAGCTGAGGAGAGAAGGGTGAAAGACGGGAGGGGCTGATCTTTTATGAGGGGACATAGCACATACGCACAGGGACTTTGTAGTGACTTAGTAGCTGTGGCTGATGACATATTCTGTCAGGACCTTGAGCAGGCCAGTGTAACTGCCTGAGTACTGACAAGTGCATGTGCACAGGGGTGCTCTTAGTGGCTGCAGCTGAGGACCCTGAGGGCAGGCCCGTGTAATGCCTGAATGCTAGCAAGCACATGCACACAGGGAGTGGCTGTAGCTGAGAGTATATCTGCCAGGTCCTAAGGGCAAGCCGGTGTAGATGCCTGAATGCTGACATTCCGCCCTTCTGTTTATTATAAAAAGGTGAGGAGCTAGAAAGGGGTAGCAGGTGAGGTGGGATGAGGGCACCGTGTTCTCGAGACTCCTTCCTGCTGACCTGGGTGGTGTCGGTCATCTTTGGGGGACCTGAGAAAGCTGGGATGCTGGCCACATCCTGGGGGGCTGTTTCATTTCGCTGTCCAGGCTCTGTGGAACCGTCTGACGCCTCTTGGACCTGTCAAAATACTGGCAGGGCAGAAGATAAAGTTAAGGTTAGGGGAAATTTTTTCTTAGGTCCTGTTAATTGAGGGAGGAGAGCCCCAAAGACCAGAGAAAAGTGACGGTGCTTCTCTGGAGTGCATCTGACCTGTTGTTCTAGGTGGATCCAAGTCGACTCCCTGGAGCTTACAAGGATTTTGTGACTTTGCAAAAAAATAAGTTTTAGATACATTAGCATTCCCACTATTTATAATATGTACTGAAATTTACATTGTGGAGATGGCAGTATATTCATGCCTTTGAGTCATTAGACAGCAACCGAAGAGAATTTAAAATCCTGAGCTTGTGACTGTGATCATATAGTGGTAGTTTTGTACTCTGCCAGAGCTAGAGTAATAGCTTATCAGAACTCCACTGATTAATGTTAACGCTATAAACTGTTGGAATCTTAATGTAACAGTAGCATAGTGAGAGAGAGAAGTCTGGAATATGCTTCATTCTTTTATACATCTCAAATCACTTTCTCCTTATCACCACTTAAGCTTTCCTATCTTCACATAAACAAACCCTAAAGCACCTGGTCCTTTCCCATCACCACAGCATCACCTTGACACCCTTTTTCTATCCCATTCACCAGGACACACAGGTGGTTGGTTGTAGAGAGTATTTTTTATTTTATTCTATTTATTTATTTATTTTGTTTTTTTGAGACAGGGTTTCTTTGTGTAGCTTTGTGCCTGTCCTGGATCTCGCTTTGTAGACCAGGCTGGCCTCGAACTCACAGAGATCCACCTGGCTCTGCCTCCTGAGTGCTGAGATTAAAGGCGTGCGCCACCACTGCCCGGCGAGAGTATCTTTTTTTTTTTTTTTTTGGTTTTTCGAGACAGGGTTTCTCTGTGTAGCTTTGCACCTTTCCTGGAACTCGCTTTGGAGACCAGGCTGGCCTCGAACTCACAGAGATCCGCCTGCCTCTGCCTCCCGAGTGCTGGGATTAAAGGCGTGCGCCACCACCGCCCGGCTGAGAGAGTATCTTTTAAATAAAGGAATAGTAAAAAGTTACATTGAAATCTGTTCTGTGGATTTATCTCTTTTCTGAGTCTGGTAACGAGGTAAATTGTGTCTAGACTTAGTATTAGTTCCAGGAGAGAGGTCTGTGGCCTGAATTTTACGCACAAAGAGAATCGAGAAGACAGCCAAAGCCTTGGTTGCTGCTGTTAGACTGACAAAGCCACCAGTAGCCTAGTCGTCAAATATCATCAGAGTTCTGAGAAGGAAATTTTACCTGAGTTGGCGATTAAAAATGACAGAGACGTACTTGCTGGCTACCTAGACAAACACCCCAGGGTCCTCCATGGTTGTTGGAGACAGTGGTCTTAGGGCAGCATCAGTCTTTGGCTACCAGGCCCAGAAGATCTGACAGATTTTCCTGTGGAGGAACTTGGGGGGACAAGCCTACTTTGTCTAGGCAAAGTGAAGTAGTTGATTTCCCAGTGTCCTGTTTTCTACAGTCTGGAGACAGCTTGGCAGCAGCTGAGCTGAAAGGCAGTTTTTTTTTTTTTTTTTTCTCAATGGCTGATGTTACCATATTTACAGCAAGCTCTGGGTGGAAGTTCTTCTGTGCCCGTCCATATTCTTTGGAGGAAACAGGAATGCTGCCAGGAGCTGGCATTGTTTCTCTATTGTGAAAAGCCTTTTTTAAATTAAACATTTAAAATGTCATATTCTCAGATCTCTGAAGCATTTGAGGACTGTCTGTTAGGTATATCTGAACAGATAAACTTCCTTTCTACTTACTTGTTTTAAGCTTAACTTTGAAAACATGTACAGGGGACTAAATAAGGCTTATCCCTGTAATTAATTATATTAGTACTTAGCATGACTATAATTAAAGAATTTGATCATTTATAAAATAACTGACTATTAACTTGTGTTCTTTAACAGTCTACAATAAGCTAGCAGCTTTCATAAGACTAGGACTTTACATTACCTTCCAGTCAGGTTTAGCCTTAAAAATAATGATTTCAAATTGAAGCTCTTCTAGTATCAAAATAAAACTTTTAATCATAGATAATGGGTTCAGTAAAGAAACCAAAATAGTCACTCCATGGGTAAAAACAGAACAAGTCTGTACCAAACTAAGGCTGTCTCCTGAGAAGGCAAGGAATAAGGACAGGGAAAAGATCCCCAGGGTGAAATGGGAACAGGAGAAGAGAGGTTTGTGGGTTGGCATGTGGCCCATGGACAGGGACTGAGGGAGTCTGAAGGCCAGCACTGCCTTTGACAAGCCTCTGCCCAAATGCCCAACCCTGGAAAAGGACACTCTCTGGGAACCAGGCATTCCATTATGGGATATATACCTTATTTATCAAATACCTTATTTATCGAACATATGTAGCCACTTATCTAAGTTCCTTAGAAACCTGGGTTGAACATTTGGCAAAGACACAAGTACTTGGGTGTAAATCTCTAAGTCAACTTTTGTTAATCTGAATAGACCTTTATAACCTTAAGTTTTTATCACCATATAGAGTATATTCTAAACCAGAGTTGAATAATATATATAGTATGTTGTAACAAGTCTAACCATATATTTTTATCATCATACAAAAGACCATACCATTTGAGACTTGTTGCTTTCTTAGTCTAAAAGGAGATACAATGAACAGAGAGTTCGTTAGAACTAAGAGGTGTCACGTGATATGTACTCTTTAACTTTAGTGAAAGATGGCTGCCAGCCACATGGCTGCCTACACCATGATGAGGTCACCAGCCAAGATGGGGGAGAGCCATGTGGTTGCTGTTTAAAATGTTTTTCTAAAGAAAAAAAGAAGAATAATTACATGCACACACACTCACAGAGTTGAATCCAAGTTACATACACATACATGCAGAGTTAAATCCAGCTTACATTTACACATATAGAGTTAAATCTGAGTCACATATGTGTATACACACACCCACACACACATGTATCTTAAACAAGAGTTGAAGAAAAAGAAAGGGTGAACCGGTGTGTGCTGAGCAAGATGAAGCTGGCTTCTCCATCTCTGACTCCCACGTTGCACCAAACACAGACAGGACATTTCAAGAGGGAGAGCAGACAGACACGAGCAGGTCTTGGAGCAATGAAAGAGAAAGAAACTGGAGAATTCTCTCTTGGTTCCCTGACTGCCTGGTCCAAGGCCAGATTTGATTTCGAGAAAAACTAGAAGGCAAGCAGAGGACTGTGCTCAAGAAATGAAGTCTCACATCCAGGGGCGTGGTCAGAGTGAGAAGCCCCACCTCACATCCAGGGGCGTGGTCAGAGTGAGAAGCCCCACCTCACATCCAGGGGCGTGGTCAGAGTGAGGAGCCCCACCTCACATCCAGGGGCGTGGTCAGAGTGAGGAGCCCCACCTCACATCCAGGGGCGTGTCCAGAGTGAGAAGCCCCACCAGAGACCCAGTTGCCAGTATTGGAATGAAGGCAGAGCCATCAGAGAACAAGAGAGCAGATTTGTTGCAGATGGAAGAGAGCGGAGCTGCTTCAGGTGGGACAGGCAGGTAGGGCTCCTGTGTGAAGCGGGTACCTTTGGTGGGCCCTGCCAAGGTACGCCACTAAGCCAACACGCCACATGCAACAGAGTTAGCGCGAGAGGCTTATTGGGAGGGGGAGAGCGAAAGAGTGGAAGAAGAGTGGAGACTTGAGAGAGGCAGGCAGA